CAGACGCTCTGGGACTCACCAGAGCCATTCTGTGCAACGGTCAGATCATTCCCAGTGTTTCATCACGAATGCATTACAAACACTGGTTTCTGCACATATTAAAGACGCTACAACAAGTGACTGCAGTAGCAGACTCATAAATGCTTTACAATCTAACTTATGAATCATTATTGCACATTGTAGTAATGAGAAAGAGATGTGTTGCATGACAGAATCTTTGTTTGGGAGCAGAGTACTGACAGGTTCATGTGAGGATATAATCACACGTGTCTGTGTCTGTGTCTGTGTGTGTGCAGATGGTCTGGTGAGGAGGCTGGAGGAGCTGGAGAAAACGGCTGAGCTTTATAAAGGTGATTCTTTCATACTGTTACTGCATTAAAACAATGACAGAGAGTTTAATCTGGAAGTAATCTGAGTGTTTGTGTGTGTTTAGGACTGATGGAGCACACGAAGAGACTGTTAAGAGCTTTCTATGAGCTCTCACAGACTCACAGAGGTACAGTAGATGATTCTTTGATCCACGTTCATAATATGATTCATTATAAGCTTCTATAAAGTGTTTCAAAATGTTCATTTTTAGTAGTAACACCAACTGTGACCAAGAAAACACTCTATAAATCATCAGATGTGTGATACAGTGTTTGGTTTTCTCTCTCAGCGTTTGGCGACGTGTTTTCTGTCATCGGCGTCCGTGAGCCGCAGGCCGCCGCCAGCGAAGCCTTCGTGAAGTTTGCTGAAGCTCATCGAAACATGGAGAAGTTCGGCATCCAGCTGCTGAAGACCATCAAACCCGTGAGAGACCAGATCTGAAATGAGTTTACACAGAGACTGAAAGTAGAACAACTAAAAATGCAATGAAAACACTACAGCTTGCTAAATAATGTGCGTTTGTCTGTCAGATGCTGCATGATCTGAACACGTATCTTCACAAAGCCATTCCAGACACCAAGCTCACCATCCGCAAATACCTGGACGTCAAGTTTGAGTACTTGGTATGAGAACAGCAATTAGATTCACTCATCATAGTCTGTTGATATGAGATGTTACATTAACAGAGGGATTTTGAGAACATTTATTGATGCGTGTTTGTGTTTCAGTCGTACTGTCTGAAGGTGAAGGAGATGGATGATGAAGAGTACAGCTGTATCGTGAGTTCACTCACTGTCCGTTCATCATTTACTAATTAACTAACCAATACCAGACTGCTCAAATCTGCTCGAGATCATTTGACTCTTAATATATTGTTACTGTTTAAACCTCCTTAACACATTTACTGATTATAATGAGTGTTTTGGAGGTGGAGGATAGAGTTCAGCGTTGAACTTTGACCCTGATGCAGTCCTTCACACTGATCAGGAATATTTTTTGAAATAAAAAAAAAAACGCTGAGTGACATTAAAATGCATCCTACCATTTTAGATTGAAAATTTAATAAGCATTATTTTTAATCTCCATTTTTGCCATCTGATGCCAAAATGCCTCATTTACAAAAGATACACAAATTTGACTTTATTACTGATAAAAATTTGAAAATAAAAACAAATGCATTTACATTAAGTGAATAAGTGCACCCTAAGATTTTTAGATTTTTGTAATATGTAATTTTATTTATGTATTATTGGTGTTAAATAAAGCGTTAAATAATGTTTGCGTGTGTTTCAGGCGTTGGGCGACCCGTTGTACCGCGTCAGCACCGGTAACTATGAGTACCGCTTGATTCTGCGCTGTCGACAGGAAGCTCGCACACGTTTCGCCAAGATGCGCAAGGACGTTCTGGAGAAAATCGAACTCCTGGACCAGAAACACGGTGAGTTGAGGAGAAATGCAGCAGAATACATGATCTGTTTTATGTCGTTTTAACCCTTTCCATTCCCTCTTCAGTTCAGGACATCGTGTTCCAGCTGCAGCGCTTCGTCTCAGGCATGTCACGCTATTACGACGACTGCTACGGCGTGCTGAAAGAGGCCGATGTGTTTCCCATAGAGGTGGATCTGTCCCGCACCATGATCAACTACAGCGGACAGAGTCTCTCATACGAGGACGAGGAGGAGGAAGAGACGGGCAGAGGAGGAGAGGAAGACGCTCCGCAGGCTGAGAACGGAGCCGAGAAACTCATCGACGACGAGTGAGTGAGCGAGCCAATGAATGAGTGAATTATCAGGTGAAATAATAAAAGAAAGGAATGTGACGGATCGCATTGTCGCTGAAAAAAACTACACATTCTACAGATGAGATGCGTGTGTTCAATGAAAGGTGGTTAATAAATAATATGAATAAAAACATATGTTACATATTTATATATGAAGTTTAATATAATGTTTCTATATTGATAAACTACGCTTTCATTCAAATCACTGATCAGACAGAAACGGAATCACTGGTTGCCATGTTACGTACTTTAGAATAGAATGTTATGTTTGGTTACTATGGTGACAGAATTTAAACTTTTAAACAAACATTCTTTGTTTCAAGTCTTTGCACTCTTTGTTTGAACACATTTCAAATGAACGGGACTGAAGTTGAGTTGTCGGATGTGTTTTTGCACAACTTGTGTGTGTTTTTCTTGCCTTTGAAACACTGGATGAATGTCTTTAAGCTCCAGTGGTCTGAATATTTCACTATTTTGTTGGTGTTTTTTTGTTTGTTTTGGGCGTTTGGGGTTATTTAATTGAATTCAGCTGTGTAACTGTGGTTCATGTATGTCCTAGATCGATTCAAAGGTCTTGAAGGTTAGAAAAACAAAGTTTGATGAAGAAAAACGCTTGTGAAACCTTCTATGTGTGAGTAAACATGTAAATCAAACTTGTTTCATGGGCTTTCTCATTAAACATCTGAGCTTCAGGAATATTTGAGGTGGTTTCCGTCTGCTTTCCTCTGAATGATTCACAGGGAGGTGATGGCAGAAGTTCAGATCTGATGTCTGGCGTTTCAACTGGACTCGACTCATTGAAGTGTCTGAATCGAAGGTTTAATGACTAAAATGTTCAACTTTGAGTTTGGAAACGCACTCATAAGTTACCATTTTTTATCTTTTCAAATAGGTTTTGATGTCTCAATTGCTTTTTACTGATTTTTATAACCCATTAATTATTGGTCATGTTGTTAATGGGTTAAAATGTGTGTAACACCCTTCATGAGCCAAATGAGCTGTAGGTGTATTTGATTATCAGGCTTTGATTCGAGTTTTAAATTTGTGTTAATGTAGTTTATGTATTTAAGTATTCACTATAATAAAACTAAATCTAATTTAGTCCTGCTAATTAAAAACAACTTGTTTTAAGGGGTTAACTAGTTTACTTTTAATTTATCTTATTTAAATTGGGCACCAGTGACTTCTTACAGCATTTTAACTTCCAAAAGAGTTAATTCACACAGTTTATTTTACTAACTAACATAACACGTAATTTATTATAACAAATCAGTGCGTTTAGATTTTATTAGCGACTTCGCTAGTTCGCTTCCGCGTCGAACATCAGCAGCGGTCACGTGATGCCTCACTGGAGTCCGATTGGATGCCTTTATAAGTGTCTCCGCCCCGCCGCTAGTGTCGTCCGCCCCAGTGGCCTAATGGATAAGGCACTGGCCTCCTAAGCCAGGGATTGTGGGTTCGAGTCCCATCTGGGGTGAGTGTTGTTTTTCTTTCTTCAGCGTCTGTCGGTGTTCATTTCAGTGAGTGTCAGTTGCGTCTTATAAACGTAGTTTCTCGTCTGGATTCATTCATGCCGTTTTGGCATCAGGAAGCTCTTTGCTGACGGATTTCACACTTCATTTTCAGTTTCTGTGCTGCATGTGACTGAACATCGACACAAACATGACGAGCAGCGGCTTTTGTGCTTTAATTCTCGCTTGTTTTGCTGCAACAGTGAGAAGCGACAGTAAGTAACCCACTAATTTAACCTTGACTTTCATAAAGCTCGTGTTTCATACAGTGAAGTGAATGTCTTATGTGTTTATATGACCATATGTTCAGTGCAAATCTGCGTCTGCTCTCTTTAAAACACACTGCTTTTGTTTTGCTCATAAGAGTGCGAGTCAAGTGTGTGTTAAGTGAGTTTTAGAGGAATTGACTGACGCTGCAGGTTTGTCTGTTATAGTGATCATGCACAGACTGGAGAAGCACATGATCCTGTGAAACGCAAGCTGAAATCTGATGTGTGACTCAGTTACTTTATGGTTTCTTAACAAAGAGATCAAGTTGCAGGGAAATGTAGTATAATATTATAGTTCAGATTGACTTCTTTCAGCATTTTAACTTCCAAAAGTGTTCATTCACACTGTTACTTTATGGTTACGTAACAAAGAGATCAACAGACTGGAGAAGCACATGATCCTGTGAAATCTGATGTGTGACTCAGTTACTTTATGGTTACTTAACAAAGAGATCAAGTTGCAGGGAAATGTAGTATAATATTATAGTTCAGATTGACTTCTTTCAGCATTTTAACTTCCAAAAGTGTTCATTCACACTGTTACTTTATGGTTACGTAACAAAGAGATCAAGTTGTAATCATACATTATTAAAATCAAAAATTATTTTAGTGTCTGTTAATATTTAATGGATCTGAGCTGACATGAACTAACTTGTATTTTCATTAATGTTAACAAAGATTAATAAAAACTGTAACAAATGTTCGTTAATGTACCTAATGGGACCTTATTTTGCCAATTTATCTAACAAAAACAAAGTTTTTGAGCAGCAAATCTGCATATTATAATGATTTCTGAAGATCATGTGAGACTGGAGTAATGATGCTGAAAATACAGCTTTGATCTCAGAAATAAATTTCATTTTAAAATATATTCAAATAGAAAGCAGTTATTTTAAATAGTAAAAATATTTCACAATATTACTGCTTTTGCTGTACTTTGGATCAAATAAATGCACCGTTTGTCTTTTATTAATATATAAAAAAGATAATTTAAGTTTTAAGGCACATTATCTTTAATTGAAAACTGACTTTTGTGTGTGTGTGTGTGTGTGTTTTATCATTAGCTTTTATTTAAAATGCACTTATTGAATGTAGATTCATTTTCTAAGCTAACAGGGTCTCTGCAAATAAAATAGTAAATGTTGAGTATTAATTTCTCTTCTCACATCCTCAAAAGTTCCTCCTGTGGTTAAAAACGGCATAAAGTGTTTTTAAGGAAGTAGCAGACGCCCACACGAGTCATAATCACAACCTTATTCTGTTGCTTTGTTTTCATGTTAATGTGGTGTGTTTTTAATCCAGAGCTGCTGAAGGCCACGGCGTACTGGGAAATGGGACCTTATTTCGCCAAGTTTGCCAATTTATCTAACAAAAACAAAGTTTTTGAGCAGCAAATCAGCATATTATACTGATTTCTGAAGGATCATGTGACACTGAAGACTGGAGTATGCTGAAAATACAGCTTTGATCTCAGAAATAAATTTCATTTTAAAATATATTCAAATAGAAAGCAGTTATTTTAAATAGTAAAAATATTTCACAATATTACTGCTTTTGCTGTACTTTGGATCAAATAAATGCACCGTTTGTCTTTTATTAATATATAAAAAAGATAATTTAAGTTTTAAGGCACATTATCTTTAATTGAAAACTGACTTTTGTGTGTGTGTGTGTGTGTGTTTTATCATTAGCTTTTATTTAAAATGCACTTATTGAATGTAGATTCATTTTCTAAGCTAACAGGGTCTCTGCAAATAAAATAGTAAATGTTGAGTATTAATTTCTCTTCTCACATCCTCAAAAGTTCCTCCTGTGGTTAAAAACGGCATAAAGTGTTTTTAAGGAAGTAGCAGACGCCCACACGAGTCATAATCACAACCTTATTCTGTTGCTTTGTTTTCATGTTAATGTGGTGTGTTTTTAATCCAGAGCTGCTGAAGGCCACGGCGTACTGGGATTCGACCCACAAGGCCGTTCTGCTGAAGGAGGGTGTTCTGGACCCGCAGGGCGACGCGTACGGTTACTATAACGACACGCTGTCGTCGACGGGATGGGGCGTGCTGGAGATCAGGGCTGGATACGGACAGACGGCGGAGCCGGACGACGTCACCATGTTCACGGCGGGATATCTGGAGGGCTTCCTCACCGCGCCGTGAGTGTCTGTAACACCAGACCGTCTCCATCTCCTCAGACCTTCAACAACCTGATTCATGCAGATGCTGTGAATCCTAGTTTTATTCCCAGATCATTTCCTGCAACATAATTTCCTGTCTCTATGTAAGGTGCACTCATAATGTTCGTTTCTTGCACTAGAAACAGTCATAATTCAGTTTTTCGTGGTCATTGAACACCTTCTTTCTGACCTTACTGTTTAAACAGACTGTTTCTGCTACAATCACATTAAGTCAGTATATGTAAATATATGACTGCTATATGTAAATGAGCCCTCGGGTGATTGGCAAACTTTTTTTTTTTTTTTTGCATGTGAAATGAGTACGAGTGATTGCATTCAGGTTTGGGTTCATGTTTTAGTCATTCATTAACAGGTTTCTCAACCTGCGTTATTATCATTAACTACAACTAAGACAATAAATAAATAAGACAAGAAAATAAATTATTATTTATTCAAATAAAATCTTAAATATGAGATGAAAAGTTGAGATGAAGAATAGAAGTTATGCATTGGCAACTAACTAAACTAAAACTGAAATGAAACCCGAGTAGTAAGTAAAAAATAAATAAATAAGGCTCTACAAATTACTACAAATTAAACTGTGTGTGAAATTCTGACTGTTTTCACAGTATATCAGTACAAGTATTATTTAAAAATATGAATACTGATTTTTTAAATTTTAGTTTATTTGGGCTAAAATGTAGTTTTACAAAGTAATTTTCTTCAGTTTGATTATGTTCTCAAGTGGAGGAAAGTACGAATTAATAATAATGACCTTAAGCACTAAAATGATTGGAAATAAATTAAAACTAAAAGTGAAACTAAAACTATATTTTTACCCATTTCTAAACGAATAAAACTAAAAAAAAAAAAAAAAAATTTAATATAAAAAAATAACTAATAAAAATGACCAAAAAAATCCCGCTAAACTAAAATTAATAAAAGCGATAGACATTTCAAAATACAAAAAAAATTAAGATTAAAATTACTAAAAATTTAATTTAAAATGAAAACGCAAAATATTTAAGAAGTATATAAATAATATTGTATATTTTATATATGATAGTGTAAAATAATCTAGCTATTAGTTATAATGATAATCTAAAATAATATCGTTAGTTTATAAATAATACTAAAACAACACTGTTCTCACAGTATATCAACATATACATTTTTCGATTGTATGATTTGGGTTGACGATTTATTTTAGCTGAAATGTAGTTTTTTTTTTTTTTTTTTTTTTTTTTATAAAATTTTTTTTTTTTTTTTTTTTATTAAAGAATAGAGCAAGCTAGTTTTTTTAGATAAAATGTAGTACTTGTATTTTTTTTTTATATAAGTGAGGAAGTGAGTGATTAATAATAATGGTTGCATGGTGTTTTGTGTGTTTCAGGCAGATTTTCGATCATTACACCAACATGTACCCGCAGCTGATCCAGAATCCCAAAACGCTGGTGGCAGTGAAGCACTTCATGGCGTGAGTGAGGCTCCTCTGTGTGTGTGTGTGTGTGTGTGTGTGTGTGTGTGTGCGTCTGTAAAGGACGTGTTGCTGATTGTGTGTTGTTCTGTAGTAAGCAGGACGAGTGGTCTCGGGCTCAGGTGAAGCGTAACACCAGCGATCCTCTGTGGATTCACACGGGTCTGATTCTGGCGCAGCTGGACGGACTGCAGGCCGGAGTGACCGACTGGGCCAAACAACACGGGAGGACGGTGAGACGAGGCTGAGATACTTCACTGGGAAGATTAGTAAAAAAAACTACTTTAAAAATGACATAAGCGTTTAAAAAGAGTTTGTATTTGATTTATTACTAAGGCTCTGTTTCATGTGTTTGTTCTGTGTCTTAAAAAATGACTTGAACATCTAAAAATACTTTAAGGCTGTATTTCCTTTATTTGTCTTAATTCTTACTTTTTTTTTTGTTTTTATTTGTTTTATTCAGACACTGTTTCCTTTTTGTATCTATTTTTTACTATAAAAATTAGTTAAATGGAGGGATGTAACGATTCACTCAACTCACGATTCGATTCACAAATTATAGTTTTTTTTACAAAATGAGATTTAAGACAAATTATAAATTAAATGTGTCCTTTTATTATTGCTTGGACTGCACATTTCTTTGTGGAATTGAAATATAACTATAATAATATAGCACTTGTATATTATTGCTCTTTTGTTAGTTTTGATTGCTTCTATTGTCCTCATTTGTAAGTCGCTTTGGATAAAAGCATCTGCTAAATGACAAAATTTAAATAGAATGTAAATGTAAATAACAAAACTAAATTGAAATTTTAAAACAAGCCCCAAATCAAATAAACCGGCTCGCGGTTAATCATTACATCACTAATTAAATGTTTTATTAAGGATCTATTTCTTAAATTTTTCCTATTTCTTTCTTTAAAAATGATGCAAACATTTAAACATCTTTTCAAATAAATCTGAGGTTTATTTAGCCGAAGGTTTATTAGTACTAGTCAGTGTGTGTTTGTTTCACACTCGTCTCTCTCTGTAGCCTCTGTCCCAGTTTGCCGTTCAGTTCCTGAATGCGGTCGGTGATCTGCTGGATCTGATCCCGGCGCTGGTTACCGGCGGGAAGCCTGGCTTTAGTCAGTATAAAGCTCCTCCGATGGGCCACTGCTCTGCACTCATAAAGGTACCAAACGTCCGTCAGAAATGACGTCAGACATCAGCTGATGTGATGGTTTCTCTCATCTGCCGTGTGTTTCAGATGTTGCCGGGCTTTGAGAACCTGTTGTTCGCTCACTCCAGCTGGTACACGTACGCCGCCACCATGCGCATCTACAAACACTGGGACTTCAGACTGAACGAACCGCATACGGCCACCGGAAAACTCTCCTTCAGCAGCTACCCTGGTACACTCACTCACTCATTTCTTACTTTCAAAATTAAACATCTGAGAAGTTTGATTTATTTTATTAAGATTCTATTTCCTTTATTTTTCTTGTTTATAACTTGATTTAAATGACTTGAACATCTAAAAAGAGATTGTATTGGCACCCTGGTAAACACACTCGATCACACATTCATTCACTCACTCACACTCATTCATTCACTCACTCGTTGATTTACTCATTCTTCACACATTCATTCACTCATTTTATTCACTCATACATTTATTCATTTACTGATTGATTTATTCACTCACTCACTAATTCATTCACTCATTCATTTGCTCATTTTCTCACTCACTCATTTCCTCACTCATTCAGTCACACACATTCATTTACTGATTCATTTGCTCACTCACTAATTAATTCACTCATTCATTTGCTCTTTTCTCACTCACTAATTTCCTCACTCATTCACTCATTCAGTCACACACATTCATTTACTGATTCATTTGCTCACTCACTAATTCATTCACACATTCATTTGCTCATTTTCTCACTCATTCACTCTCACTCATTATTCACTCATTCAGTCACACACATTCATTTACTGATTCATTTGCTCACTCACTAATTCATTCACTCATTCATTTGCTCATTTCCTCACTCATTCACTCTCACTCATTATTCACTCATTTATTCACTCATACATTTATTCATTTACTGATTGATTTATTCACTCACTCACTAATTCATTCACTCATTCATTTGCTCATTTTCTCACTCACTCATTTCCTCACTCATTCAGTCACACACATTCATTTACTGATTCATTTGCTCACTCACTAATTAATTCACTCATTCATTTGCTCTTTTCTCACTCACTAATTTCCTCACTCACTCATTCAGTCACACACATTCATTTGCTCACTCACTAATTTATTCACTCATTCATTTGCTCATTTTCTCACTCACTAATTTCCTCACTCATTCACTCACTCATTATTCACTCATTCAGTCACACACATTCATTTACTGATTCATTTTCTCACTCACTAATTTCCTCACTCATTCACTCTCACTCATTCAGTCACACACATTCATTTGCTCACTCACTAATTTATTCACTCATTCATTTGCTCATTTTCTCACTCACTAATTTCCTCACTCATTCACTCACTCATTATTCACTCATTCAGTCACACACATTCATTTACTGATTCATTTGCTCACTCACTAATTCATTCACTCATTCATTTGCTCGCTCATTCATTAATTCACTAATTTCTTCACTCATTCATTCACTCACTCATCTGACTCATTCATTCACTCATTGATTTACTCCATATATTCATTCGTTCTCTCACTCATTCATTCACTCACACACATTCACTCATTTTTTTCACTCATACATTTATTCATTTACACATTCACTCATTCATTTACAGATTCATTTATTCACTCACTAATCCATTCAGTCACTCATTTTCTCATTCACTCATTGATTTACTCCATTCATTCATTCATTCATTCTTGTCCTTCGGATGAGACGTTAAACCGAGGTCCTGACTCTCTGTGGTCATTAAAAATCCCAGGATGTCTTTCGAAAAGAGTAGAGGTGTGACCTCGGCATCCTGGCCAAATTTGCCCATTGGCCTCTGATCATCATGGCCTCCTAACAATCCCCATATCTGCTGATTGGCTTTATCACTCTCTCCTCTCCACCAATAAGCTGGTGTGTGGTGGGTGTTCTGGCGCACTATGGCTGCCGTCGCATCATCCAGGTGGATGCTGCACACTGGTGGTGGATGAGGAGATACCCCCTGACAATGTAAAGCGCTTTGAGTGCCTAGAAAAGCGCTATATAAAAATGTAACAAATTATTATTATTCATATTCACTCATTCATTTATTGATTCATTTATTCACTCACTCATTCACTAATTTCCTCACTCACTCATTCACCCACTCGCTCACTCATTCGTCACTCACTCCTTCATTCACTCACTCCTTTATTCAATCACTTACTCCATTCACTTATTCACTAAATCATTCATTTATTGATTCATTTATTCAGTCACTCTCTCATTCACTCACTCATTTCACTCCTTTTTATATTATCTGTAATGTACTGTTTTTAAAGTTGCAGGGCAGTATATACTGTTTAGTATAGTAGTGTTATATTGTATTTGTTTATAATAGTATTTTTCGAGTAGCAGGCAGGATATAGTGTGTGGTTTGTGCAGTATGTGAATGGCTGATGTCTGTGAATGTGTGTTCAGGGTTTCTGGTGTCTCTGGATGATTTCTATCTGCTGGGCAGCAGTTTAATGATGACTCAGACCACCAATAACGTCTTCAACACCTCGCTGTACTCCTACATCACTCATGCCAGTCTGTTCTCCTGGCAGAGGGTTCGACTGGCACACGCACTGGCAAGCACTGGAGAGCAGTGGGCCAAAACCTTCTCCAGATACAACTCTGGTCAGAAATCACATTCACTCACTTGCAGTTACTAATAAAGTTACTGATCAGCTGATGTTTTGATGATCTTACTTAAGATGTATCTTGATTATTTTTTTAAGGTCTTTGTTATACTATTCATTTAGATACATGGATATGATCCCTTTTAAATGTTGTCTCCTGCTCATTGTGTTACTGTTTGTACAGCACTATGGTCAACGTTGTGGTTTTATTCAGTGCTTTAGAAATACATTTGAATTTGAATGTTTTATTTACTCTGTTTTTGGTTTTTGTGAGTGTTCTGTCTGGACTGTGTTTGCTCTGTCATGAGGGTTTCTCTGATCCTGTGCTGAATCTGTCCGTCAGGGACGTATAATAACCAGTACATGGTTGTGGACGTGAGTAAAGTGAATCTGGGCAGCAGTCTGGAGGACGGAGCGCTGACTGTGGTGGAGCAGATCCCGGGACTGGTGGAGTATTCAGACCAGACGCAGACGCTGCGCAGAGGTCCGACCAAAATACACTTCATGCTGAACATTTCAGTTCTTTTGACTTTAGGTTATACTGAAACTGATGTTGTGCATCTGTTGCTATAATAAATGTGTTTCTTCTGCAGGTTACTGGCCGTCCTACAATGTGACCTTCCACCGTAAGGTCTACGATCTGAGCGGATACGAGCAGATGTGGAAGGAGCATGGCAAGGATTTCTCCTACGACCTTTGCCCTCGCGCCAAGATCTTCCGCCGCGACCAGTCGTCTGTCAGCGACCTGAACTCCCTCAAACACATCATGAGATACAACAGTAACGACTCACAACATTTACTAACTCCTGATGATGTCAATAATAAAACGGTAAAACGGTATCGGTATTTATCGACGGTATACCATCATCGAAGACGATAGAAAAATGTTCAATATATTGCACGATAGCTTCAAGCTTTTTTCATTGAAAGGCACGTGTTTTGGGTGAAAAACAAAGCCAACCGAACACACAAACACATGCTGAAATGAGTGTCGTGCCTGCCTGTGATGAGGAGACTGGGAATCAAAAAAAACAATATTAGTCAAATTTAAAATAAAAATTTGCATTTGAATGCAAAAACGGTGTATTTGAATATTAGGCGTGCGTCGGGGAACTTATCAGCGGTGCACGAGATGCGGTGATTATGTAAGTGTCGTTGTTGTGTTTTAATGGGGTTTTTTTTGTCTATCCAGTTAAACCCACAAGCTGCGTCGCTGCTGCATTTTTCATTCAAAATATGAGCGAAATATAGAAGCTCAATGCGGAGAAGATATTGCTTAGGTTAAAACCCAAACCAAGCCATTCACACGGAACACATATTCGGCGCATTCTTGAGGTGCACAACTTGACTGTTGTACTCATGTCTCGAAAAAGAGGTTCAAATATTTAGAAAACACGTCTGGAGAATTTGTGGGGGGTTTATTCCATTCCACTGCGTCTCATATATTTTTAAATGCAATCGTGTGATCGGCACTTTGGCTATTTGTATTAAGCTATGCACAAATACATGATGCTGTTTTGTTCATAACTGTTTATGCAATTTATAAAATTCAATTTGATTTATAAATATTAGTTTAGACGGTTTTCACTTTTTTTATAGACAATCGTTATTTCATTACATTGAATAAACAGTTTAACGAGGTGCATTATTTTGCTCATTGCACCCTCCTGTGACCTCAGGAGACAGGCAAATGTTTCTTTAACACTTATTTAATCTGCATATAAAATATAGGGAAGGAGATATTTGGTAAAATTGTATTTTGTGTTTGATTGTTAAAACTAAAATATTCTCTTGTTTGTCTTAATAAATTTGGTTAAATTAAAAATGCAGTGGTTAAATTTAAACTTTTTTTCTACTGCTCTTTGTTTAAGAGGTTATAAAAACAAATGTCAATAATTATCAATACCGAATGATAAGAAACATTATATCGTGATAGATTTTTTTAGCTAGATTGTTTTTTTTTTTTTTATGTATCATTTTGATTTAGTTTTGAGTTATTGTAGTACTTCAAGTTAAACTAAATGAAAGTTAGAATGTTGCAAGCTTAAGTAAAAGTGTGTTTGTTTGTTTGTTTTTTTAGTGTTTTGGGAATTTTTAATGTCTATGTATTTATGTCTATAATTGTTGTGTATATAGTTTTTTTTTAGTTTGTTATTTTATGAGAAATGTTGCATTGGCAATTAGCTGAAATAAAATTAGATCAAATTATTTTTATATTTTATTTCAGTTCATGTTTATTTTATTTCAAGTAACTAAAACCATTTAAAAAAACATGTTTTAATTCTAGTACTTTATTGTTCATTTACAGTAAAATACTAAAATTAAAACATAATAGCTTATTTGAGTTTGACTGAAGTTTAATTAGACATAAATAAAACTAATTAAACATTGTTTGTAGTTTTGGATAGCGATAATATCCCTGGTCATATCTACAATCAATCAAATATTTTATTTCTAGTATATCATTGTTCACTTATGATGGTTAAATAAATAAAATACTACAGTTAAAACACTATAGCTTATTAAAGATAATTTAACGCATAAAATTATAAGTTTTTATTTTATTTCAGCTAACATTTCATTTATTTCAAGTGAATAAAATGTTTTTTTTTTATATTTTTAGGTGTTGTTAACAATAATGTCTATAGTCATATCTACAAAAAAGACAAATAGAATTAAAATAAGCTACTATACTACTTTATTGTTAACTTATGATGGTAAAATAAGCAAATAAAATACTACAATTAAAATATAATGGCTTATTTCAGTTTCCATAGAAATCAATAAAATAAATAGGACATAAAAAATATAGTTACTACATTTTGGTTTATTTAGCCTTTAAATATCACCGAGTAAAAGCCATTGCTACATTATAATGAGGCACATGTTTGCGTAATGAGCTCGGGACCTGTCAGTCACTGTCTCCTCCTGTCAATCATAATGTCAATCTGTCCTCAGATTATAAGAGCGACCCGTACTCGCAGGGCGACCCGTGTAAGTCCATCTGCTGTCGCAACGATCTGCGGGAGCATCAAGCCAGTCCCGGAGGATGTTACGACACCAAGGTCAGCTGACCGCCTCTCATTAACCAATCAGATTGAGTCTTCTGCGCTCCTGACGCTCTGCTGTCCTCCGGTCAGGTGACGGATCTGCACATGGCTCAGAAGTTCGTGGCGGAGGCGGTAAACGGCCCGACCACAGACGGAGGGCTTCCCGTCTTCTCCTGGGGGCCGTTCAACAGCACGTCCCATCAGGGTCTTCCTCCGAAATACAACTTCAGCTTCGTCCTGATGCAGCCGCAGCTCTTCCACCCCTGAGGATCATGGGATTTCACATCCGGCCTGCTTTTGAACTGATTCTCTGTCCGCCGTCTGACGCTGAAACCAATCTGAACCTTTGAGTCTGTCGAATCGCTGTTTATTTTGAGCCATGAAATCCACACTAAACTCTACAGCTGCCAATCAGTCCAGCACTGTTTACATCTCTCTTGATTGATAGATTGAGTAAATCGTATTGCTTTAATGCTCGTTTCCACTACACAAGATCAAAAAAACAACATGCCTTGGTAAATCATAATTGATGCAAATAATAAATGACATAACTTGAAATTATGATATACAGTTTATGATATAAACTGAAATTGAGATACTAAGTCATATTTATGAGATAAAAAGTCTAACGTACAACATGCTAAATCATAATTGTGAGGTAAAAAGGCTAAATTATGACATACTAGGTCGAAATTGACAAATGACTTTTTGTCAATGTTGACTTTTCATCTCAAATATAACTTATAATTTCGACTTGAACTTCATAAATATGACTTGCATCTTTTTTTTTTCTCGACCCTTCACCTTATAAATGTTACTTCATAATTTTGACTTTTCATCTCATGAATGACTTCGAATGTTAAGATTTTGACTTCTGTAATAATTATGATTTACCGAAGCATGACTTTTTTTGTCATATGTGGCAGAAATGGGTTTCCATATCTTACATGCTTAAAGTGAGGACGTCAGCATTTTACATCTAGTCAAAGATCCAAATGAACGACACAAACAGAAAAGCAAAGTTTCTAATGTAAATGTTGGGACGTTTCTTACATTTTCAGATCTCTCCTCTCAGGGAAGGTGACTCCGAAGTGCCTTGTCTTTTATCTTCAGCTCTGAATGTCTGTGAGCATCTGTCAATCAGGATGTTTGTAATCTGTGCCGCATGTGATTTTCTCTTTTGATTCAACCAATGAATGAATGAACACAAGCTTCACTTCTCAGTCTTGAGTGTTTTTGCTGGACACAGGTTCACTAATTCAGTCAGCTATTCTGCACTTGTGCTCGACTGAAGCGTTTGATCGGTACAATTTTACTACAGTAATGTTTGACCAAAGGAACTCCGATAGCACAAATATCGAAGCTAATCTCAAAATTAAATCAGAATATTTATTGTAAAAAAAATTCTGTAACAGCTGCCAAAAACTCCACTGTGATTTGTGATATATCTTCAAGGGGGGGGGGGTTGTTAATAATTGACAAACTTGCAATTGTTGAGTTAAATTGAGTTATAAAGTCCAAACAAGGAGAATTAAACTTGCATTTGCTATTGATAAAATAGGTAAATGTTTAAATAGTTGGTTATTTCATGCTGTAACTGTAGGACTAATACAATATGCTATAAACAATAAATATTTGACTAAAACTTGTCTATTAATACCTGTTTGCATGAACTTTGAATTTTTTTTTAACTGTTGCCCCGCCCTCTTACTACTTAAAGGGGTCATATGATGCTATTTTAAAGATCATTATTTGGTGTATTTGGTGTAACAGAATATGTTGACATGCTTTAATGTTCAAAAAACCCTTTAAATTCCTTTCTATGTATGTGTCGTGCTGGAAAAACACCGTGTACCACAGTTTGCTTTGCCGTAAACAGTTTGCCAGAATAAATGCACGAGTTACTAAAGTTACTGACGGCAAGGAGAGTGAGAGAGAGAATATTCCCTCATATACATCTTGATTTTTTTTATCAGTTTTAGCTTAAATCTTGTTTTGTCTTACTTTTACTTTTATCATTGTAAGTCGCGGCCGGCTGGTTGAGAACCGCTGTATTATTTCTCCAACTGTTGACGTTGTTTCCTCTTTCTCTCCATTTCTGTTCTCTCTCTCTCTCGAATTTCTCTTTCCTCACAAATGAACTGAAATGCTGAAATCATTATTCTTCTCAGCCGTGATGGAGATCAGATCATCTGCTCCTGGTTTCTTATGAATTATTGAAACGATATCAGTGAGTAGAATGTATTTTGTCTATCAATGCAAGCTCACAGCAGTTTCATTTTCACGTTTCATTTTTGCACTTAAACATTATTCTGCATTAAATCATACGGTTTCAGTTTTGGTTTTTAAACATTTAGGTCTGATTATGGCGTTCATGTGTTTTAAAGGCTGATTTAAAGACAGTTTTACAGTTGTTTTCTTTCTTTCAGTTTTACACACTGAAGGACTTCAGAGTAGAATCAATATTCATCTTCATGTTGTTTGTATAAGGCTTTCTTCCGTAGAACAGAATTTTTTTTTTTTTTTGGTCTATACAATGAAAGTCAATGTGGTCCAAAGTTGTTTATACAGCAACATGCTTTTACATTAAGTATCATTTATAGCAAAACATGCACAAACACAATTTACAATCATGAAAACAGTAATGTATTTAGTATGTCATAATTTTAACTTTTTTCATAATTGACATTGTCGAATTTGACTTTTGCAATTTTTCTCATAATTATGACATTTTATGCCTATTTCAACTTTTTATCTCATAATTACAACTAATCTCATACAGTAATTATGATTTACCACAGCATGATTTTTCCCCAACCCCACACAACAATCAAAGCATCTGACAGACCGAAATGTTCTGACTTTGAAATGCTAAATCAACAGATGTGGTGTTTTAGATGAAGACAGTCAACATGTGGTTAGTTAGAGGATGATGTTGATAGTTAATGTGATTATCTTGTGAGAACTAACTTTCTGTGCACTAAAAATCACCAAAAGTGCCGACAGTGAGAAACGATCCTGCAGATTCATCAGACACTTGATCTGATGAATCACATTCAGACAATTAAACAGATGCTTTTTTTTAGAACCACTGATTCTATTTGGTTTGTTATCTGTTTAATAAAGTAGTGCAGATAACAATGTGTGGTTAAAAATAAAGTTCCGTTTCCTTCTGCTCGGCTGTTTCACTCTTTGTCTCTCTAGAGATTCGATCAGTGATTCATTCTCTCCGATATCACGAATGAAGAAGTGATCTCTCCATCCCTGCCTTTACTCTCATCAGTTTTATCAGTAGTGATGGAGAGGAGAGCGTGCGCTCTTGGTTCTCAGTGGGACTCTCTGCTCAAGCTTTGCATCTCCCACAAATCCCTGGGATTGACGCCATCAGGTGAGTGTCGCATGAGCAGATCTGCTGGATCAGCGCAAGATGGTGTGTTTTATGTCAAGTTGGATGCTTTCGTTGCTCTAGCGGTTCCTCCGCCGGTGCTGAGCACCAGAGGTCCGGATGAGTCCTGGTCCACCATCAGCCCTAGCGTGTGGATCTGTGTCGGGCTGGTTGCGAGCGGGTCGGTTCTGGTTCTGCTGCTTTGGTTCATCATCTACAGACAGCACAGCGGGACCTCGCAGCTCACAGGTAAAATGGACTTTCCAGTGATTATGGCACGAGACTATATAACTATAACTCACTTTCCAGCTGTTAAACAATAAAAACACTGACAGCCAATCAGGATCCACTTGACTTTAAAGAGCTCCTTCACTTCTGGAGTTGCAATTATGAGTTTGTCGGGTTTAAATGCAGGTTGTCGGAAAGAATATGAATAATGGAGGTTAATTCGTGTCTATTTCTTGGGGAAATCTTACTAAAGTCTAAACACAGGCTAGAAGATGTTAAGTCAATATCTAGATAGCTTGCTGACAATTTCAATAATTCCGCTGTGTAAAATACAGTTATTTATATATGTAAATATACGACTGTAACTGCAAGAGAAATCAATGAAGATGTTGTGGGAAGACTAATAACTTAAAGGGTTCACCCAAAAATGAAAATTCTGTCATTAATTACACACCCTCATGTGTTTCAAACCCGTAAGACATTTGTTCAAGCCACGCGGATATGTTGTTTTCATTCAAATCAAAGCGCAAACAGGAAACATATCTCGTAGTGATATGAAGCAGCTGACACAGAATAGCATAGCCTGCTCTTTACGTCCAGCTGATATTCTCCAAAATGTCACCAAGGTGACGCGGAGGAGACGAATTGTTGAATAAAGTCGTTATTTTTCTTTTCTTTTGCGCACAAATAGTATTAGCTTCGTATAATTACGGTTGAACCACTGATGTCACATGGATTATTTTACCGATGTCATTACTACGTTTCTGGACCTGGGAACATTTCAGTTGTGTTGCTGTCTATGCAGGGTCAGACAGCTCTCAAATTCCATCAGAAATATCTTAATTTGTGTTCAGAAGATGAACGAAGGTCTTACGGGTTTGAAACGACACTAGGGTGAGTAATTAATGACAGAATTAGCATTTTTGGGTGAACTATTCCTTTAACAGGCTTGAGAGGCCATTCATGTCCAATTTCCGATTAGAAAACTCGTATTTACAATAATTCCGATAGCAGGTGAAGGCAGTCGAAGAATAAACATACCGTTATTGTGCGTTAGTGTGCATGCTAATATAGTTAACTGAATTTAAATGTAGCTAGTGAACCCGTTTTTGTAGGACAGTGGAATTAAAACGAACGGGTAAAATCGCTTATTTTAAATTGACACAGCGTTCTTAACCCTCTGATGCATCGTGGTCACTACAGTGGACAGATATTTGGAAGCCATTTTGAACCATTTAAGATGTAGCATCATGTCCCAACCACCAACTGGCGAACCCCCAAAGTGTTGTCTACGCTTCCATTTAATTGTTGTCTTTTTATCTATTTTTTTTTTGTTTTGAGATATTGCATAATATATTCAAAATGGCGGCAGGAAAAGGGGATGCACCATGTACCTCGGCAATAAGTGTTAAATAATTTTATTCTCAGAAAACCAGACAGGTACAAAAAATATTTTTCAGTTAAATAGGATGTCAGAAATAGATTCATCCAGATTTTAACAATATTTTTCTTGTACATTTTTTTCTGTGACAGAAAATATATCTGTCCACTACAGTGGACGTCATGCACCAAAGGGTATAATTCTGCCTATGGGCCTATATATATAGGTTCTGCTTTATTTTGTGTTTTATTAAAATTATGATATAATTTACACTTGAATGGTTTTATTGAACAGAAATATTAAATAGTCTTCAGATTTTATCATTTATTTCAATGCTTACAGTCTATATTTATTTATTAGGTAATATAAAACATTTTTGGGTGAACTATTCCTTTAACAGGCTTGAGAGGCCATTCATGTCCAATTTCCGATTAGAAAACTCGTATTTACAATAATTCCGATAGCAGGTGAAGGCAGTCGAAGAATAAACATACCGTTATTGTGCGTTAGTGTGCATGCTAATATAGTTAACTGAATTTAAATGTAGCTAGTGAACCCGTTTTTGTAGGACAGTGGAATTAAAACGAACGGGTAAAATCGCTTATTTTAAATTGACACAGCGTTCTTAACCCTCTGATGCATCGTGGTCACTACAGTGGACAGCTATTTGGAAGCCATTTTGAACCATTTAAGATGTAGCATCATGTCCCAACCACCAACTGGCGAACCCCCAAAGTGTTGTCTACCCTTCCATTTAATTGTTGTCTTTTTATCTATTTTTTTTTTGTTTTGAGATATTGCATAATATATTCAAAATGGCGGCAGGAAAAGGGGATGCACCATGTACCTCGGCAATAAGTGTTAAATAATTTTATTCTCAGAAAACCAGACAGGTACAAAAAATATTTTTCAGTTAAATAGGATGTCAGAAATAGATTCATCCAGATTTTAACAATTTTTCTTGTACACTTTCTTCTGTGACAGAAAATATACCTGTCCACTACAGTAGACGTCATGCACCAAAGGGTATAATTCTGCCTATGAGCCTAGATATAGGTTCTGCATTATTTTGTGTTTTATTAAAATTATGATATAATTTACACTTGAATGGTTTTATTGAACAGAAAAATTAAATAGTCTTCAGATTTTATCAGTTATTTCAATGCTTACAGTCTATATTTATTTATTAGGTAATATAAAATGTAGGCATGTATACTGTATGAGTGCAGATATATGTGTGCATGATTGTGTTCGAGTGTGTGGTGGGAGGGTGTGTGTGCTTGTGTGTGTTTGTATTTGTGCTCACATGTGTATGAATATCCCCCCCACCCCCGGCCCATACAATCACACTCTTCCCTATTGTTTGTTACACTTCACATTTCTGTGCCATCATGACATAGCTTTTTATAGTTGTTATTGAATGTTCTTATGTGTATTCAAACCATTTTCACGTAGCAAATATTTTAAAAACTTGTTTTTTTAAGACCACACATTTAGTTCTATTGATTCACTTTTTATACCTTTGATGCATGGTGTCCACTACAGTGGACATATATGTAACTCCCTCAAAATATATTATATTGACAAAAAACATTTTTGGGCATGATTTTTCACTTGTTTAAAAGTAAAAACAAACATGTAAAAAAAATATTACTTTGTGATTTAATAATTCATGCATCAGAGGGTTAAAACGTCGTGGCGCTCACGCTAGATGCTAGCACAACGGTCAAAGACATTCGTCTAGCACACGTTTATGTAGAAAAAAATCGAAGGAAAGGCAGCGCGGTGGAATGCAAAACGCATTCTGTGTGAACGGCCATAGAGGTTTAATGAGTTTCTAACCAACGAAACCTCACACACACACTTTAGTGAGTTTCTGTTCCTCGTTGGGGTCAGGAGAGTGGCGAGGGGTCTTCAGGGACGGTCCCATGTCTCATGTCTCCTTTCCACACACACACACATGCATCCGTTACCTCAGGACGCAGAACGCAGATCTTAAACCAGCGGAAAACCCACCGACACTCCTGTGTGCTAAATTTAACCCCTGAGGTTTCAGACTTAAGCAAGAGATCAGTAAGTTTAGCGTTTATTGCTGTTCAGCCCCCGTACGTGATTGTGATGATTCAGTGGTGTTATGTGGTCAAATTTGTGACTCACAAATGTAGGCTATAACTGAATTTCGTCTTTGAATCACGCTGCTGAAAAATAAACAGCTAGCTGGTTTTAAGATGCTGGTTTTAGCTGGTCTGACCAGCTAAAGAAGTGGCCAAAACCCCTCTAAAACCAGCCAACCAGCTTCCCCGATAGCACACGTACATCACGGAGAAGTCTATTTGACATCTGCATCTGCTAGACTATTTTTTAGAGTGTTTGCTCATCTGCAATACGTCTACAGGACGTTTCCTATCGGATGTCAAACAGACGTTTAGAAGATGTCTTTAAGATGTTTATGATTTAGAATTAATGTAAAACTGACATCTTAAAGACGTCTATTAGATGTTTGTACACAATAGATGCTTTCCAGATGAAGCGATCTTTAACAGACATCTTGCAGACGTGCCTGTGCTATCTGGGTACAAAAGACGTGAGACGCAAATGCAACGGTCAAAAATTTTTATCTAGTGCATGAACACCCCCTTAAAAAGGCATCTTGCAACCTTGCGTTTTTCCATTCGCTTTTTAAACGGCCCCTTAAAGACATCTGTGATCTCACTACACACTGACATCAGTGAGATCAGGTGTGAAATCTGAATCATAATAGCACCATGATTCATAAGAAAGCAGAGTTTTTCTCCTGTGAGGCGGAGTATTTTTCAAACATTTATCCCACTCAGAAATAACACTGAAAGATGCCACTTATCAAAGTAATACTGTTTATGTAGTCACCCACTAGCATTACATAGCATCTAACATTTGCTCAACTAGTCAGTGTTGTTCATCTGTCCCACAGGTGAAAAGGACTCTACACCTCACACCCCGACAACCATAGAACAGGAAGAGGAAGCCCTGTCACCTTGGCCGCACGTCAACAGCCAGGCACAGGAAGTGCCAATCAACGAGGGACCCTGTGGGCGGAGCCTGTGTAATGGATGGGCAGAGCATGGGCTGCCACTTCCTGCCACAGAATTGGGAGACTCCACCCTCGTCACCGCCAAAACCGGACAACCTGTTTAAGTCTGACGGGTAACACGAACTAATACAGAGGGTAAATAATCAAACATACCAGTTGAGCTCTCGATGCGAATCCAGCTCGTATTCATATTCACTTCAAACTACAGACCTCAAGTGATCTCACTACACATTGACATCAGTGAGATCAGGTGTGAAATCTGAATCATAATAGCACCATGATTCATAAGAAAACAGAGTTTTTCTCCTGTGAGGCGGAGTATTTTTCAAACATTTATCCCACTCAGAAATAACACTGAAAGATGCCACTTATCAAAGTAATACTGTTTATGTAGTCACCCACTAGCATTACATAGCATCTAACATTTGCTCAACTAGTCAGTGTTGTTCATCTGTCCCACAGGTGAAAAGGACTCTACACCTCACACCCCGACAACCATAGAACAGGAAGAGGAAGCCCTGTCACCTTGGCCGCACGTCAACAGCCAGGCACAGGAAGTGCCAATCAACGAGGGACCCTGTGGGCGGAGCCTGTGTAATGGATGGGCAGAGCATGGGCTGCCACTTCCTGCCACAGAATTGGGAGACTCCACCCTCGTCACCGCCAAAACCGGACAACCTGTTTAAGTCTGACGGGTAACACGAACTAATACAGAGGGTAAATAATCAAACATACCAGTTGAGCTCTCGATGCGAATCCAGCTCGTATTCATATTCACTTCAAACTACAGACCTCAAGAAATCAAAACTGCAGTTCAAGATGGCTTCAGAGACCCTCCCAAGGAAAGCAATGCAGAAACTGATTCATCATCTCACTGAAACCATTAGCAGTGTCTTTTTTTTTTAAATATATTTTCTTGTGTATATTTAGGGAGATCTCCAGCACGCCGATGAGTGTCATATTTGTTCATAAACATTTACTTGGCTTTGTGATTCATTGCTTATGTTCTTAAGCATCTGCTAATTGCATGAAAACAGATGTATGATTTTTCCTGTTTGTTTATTCGTAAGTCAGTTTGGCTAATAAACCATCCAAATAAAATCCCGTTTGTTCTCTTATTGACTACATGAGTACGAAGCAGTTGTTATGAAGTCATATTGTACATTACATTCATCATTTTAGAATAAACACAGAATTCAGAATGAATAAATGATAGAATAGTTTTTAGGAACACAGTCATACAGTTAAATATATACAGTACGTGTGTGTGTGTGTGTGTGTGAGTGTGTGTGAGTGTGTGTGTGTGTGTGTGTGCGCGTGTGTGTGTGCGTGTGTGTGTGTGTGTGTGTGTGTGAGTGTTTTCTACAGGTATGTTGTTGGGTCGGTCAGGTGCAGGTATTCGGGCTGCCTGTCACTGCTGTGTCTCTGTGTTCGTCGCTGGCGTGTGGAGAGAGTTTTGCGCCACTCGTTCCCGCGTTTGTCCAGCGTGGAGACGATCCTCTCGGCCAGATCCTGCTGCAGACGCTGGAAATTCTCCCTGAGGATCAGAAGCACACAGAGAGATTCAACGTGGGCTTGTGAGTATCAGTGATATTGATAATCTTATACATATGGAAGCTTGTTTCCACCACGGAATAAAAAATAAAAAGGTAATTGTGACTTTTTATCTCACAATTCTGACTTGTTTCTTGCAATTGTGAATTCATATATTGTAATTCAATTTTTTTTCTTGACTAAAAAAGAAAAAAGGGTAAGTGCAAGTTTATATCTCACAATTCTGACTTTTTTCTTGCAATTGCGAGTTTGCATCTCACAGTTCTGTTCATCATGCAATTCCTATTTTATTGACTAAAAAGGTAACAACCTTTTTATCGCAACATTTTTATTTTTTTACATTTGCAACTTTTTATCTCACATTTCTGACTTTTTTTCTCAGAATTGCAAGTTGTTTTTTTTTGTAATCGCCACTGAATACAAAATTAAAAAAGCTAATTGTGACTTAATCTCACAATCTGACTACTTTTTTTTTTTTTGGCAAATGTGAGTTAACCGCCCAATTCTGACTTTGTTCCTCAGAATTCTTGCAAATGCGAGATACAAAGTTGTAAAATTCCTCCTATGGATGAAACAAGCTTTTAACTTTATGAAATAAGTTTAACACAGTATTTTATAAAACTACAATATATTTTGTGAAAGACATTTTAAAAATAAATAGAGGGTAGAAAAATATATACTCTTTCAATAATACAAAGTACTATTATTATTTTTTTACAATAAAAGACAATTATTTAGTAGTTTACATTTCGTAAGAGAGATCCTTGCAAGGCAATCAACATATTTGAAAACCCTGTTATACTGCGGTTCTGTCCTGGAATCTGATTGGTTGATCACTCTGTCAGTCACTCTGCTCCTTCTTTTGGCTTATTTTCATTCGTGGAGTAAAAGAATTTATGCAGCTATATTGTGTCTGAAATGCAAGTAACTCAACTCTTTGTTGTATAAAATCAACATCACACAAGTTGTTGTGAATGGTGGCCATGTGTCGCGCCGATGATAGCTACAGCATGTGTAAATGTTTTACTGGTGTATTCTGGGAGTTTTTTATGATCACAGGACATGAGTGCTGGAGGTCTTACGCTGTTGGTGGTGCCGGCAGGTTGTATTTCTGTCCGGTGACCCCAGTCAACCAGTACGTCATCTCCTTCCCTTTACCCTGAAACGCAAACACACGAGTTTCTGCTTTTATTTTGAACTCTTCTTTAACAGTTTGTGGTTGTCCAAGAGGACTAAAATAAGAGCCTGTGATTGGCTGGAAGCAGAAATAAGAGCCTGTGATTGGCTGAAAGCAGAAATAAGAGCCTGTGATTGGTTGAAAGCTGCAGTAGGTGCCTGTTATTGGCTGGAAGGTGATATAAGAGCCTTTGATAGGCTGGCATCTCTCCTCTCACCTTCAGGTATGTTTCTCCTCGGCGCTCGCACTCAAACTGACAGTCGGTTCGATGCAGGATCTTGATGGTCGAGTCGCTCACGTGAATCCTCAGAGCTGGAAACAAATCAGCTGATCACTCAAGAGTGTGTGTTGTGTGTGTGTGTGTGTGTTTATATCTTACGCAGGCCTGTAGACTCCATACGTGACGCTGTATTGACCATATCACCAAACAGACAGTAACGTGGCATCTTATTACCCACCACACCAGCCGCACACGGACTTACACACACACGTGACTAGTGAGAGTAAGTTAGTGACTACACAAACCGCACATTATAATCTAGAGTCTATTAACCATTACTATATATATAAAAAAGGATTTTCAAATTGATATTAGGGCATCACTATGCGGTTGCTGGTCAGTTGTTAGGGCATCGCTATGCAATTGCTTGGCATTTACATTTAATCATTTAGCAGACGCTTTTATCCAAAGCGACTTACAAATGAGAACAATAGAAGTAATCAGACGAATGAGAGAGCAACAGTATGCAAGTGTTGTGACAAGTCTCAGTTAGTCTAGCACAGTACACATAGTTAGGTTTTTTTTTTTTTTTATAGAATAGAATAGGTAAGTGCTAGTATTAGTTGGTCAGGTGCTGGTGAAAAAGATAGATTGAGATAGGGAGGTCATTCCACTAGCTGGGCACAGTCCAGGAAAAGGTCCGTGATAGTGATTTCATGCCTCTTTGGGATGGCATCACAAGGCACCGTTCACTTGCAGAACTCAAGCTTCTGGAGGGCGCGTAGGTCTGAACTAGCGAGTTTAGGTATATTGGTGCAGCGCCAGTGGTTTTCTTGTAGGCAAGCATCAGTACCTGATGCGAGCAGCTACTGGTAGCCAGTGTAACCTGATTAGCTACCGTCGGATCATCGGATCATCTTGGCAGATGTTAGGGAATCGCTATGCAGTTGCTGGGCATCACTATGTGGTTGCCGGGCAGTTGTTAGGACATCACGATGTAGTTGTTTGGAGAATCACTATGCGGTTGCTGGGCAGTTGCTGAGGCATCTCTATATGGTTGCTGGGGCATCGTTTTGTGGTTGCCAGGGTCTTTTAGGTGGCAAACTGGTTCAGAATGGCAGAAAGGTGCTCAGCTGACCTTTAAAAGTCAGTATTTCACATGGATGTAGCTTGATATTTAAATGATTTTTGGCTGTTTTTAAGCATTTAGACCGGTAGGTGTTGCTGCCACTGGTGGTGGTTGAGGAGAGACCCCCCCACATGACTGTAAAGCGCTTTGGGTGTACAACAATACACAATAAAGCACTATATAAATGCATCATTCATTCTTCATTCATTCATTCACAAGCCTCAAGGTGTTATGGAAATTATTCCTAGTAAGTTACATGTATAAACATCATCTCTTTATCCATCTTCCCATGTGTCTGTACCTGAATGGATCCCAATACGGATCCACAGTGGGATTCCCGGTAGGTGTCTCAGTTGGTACGTCCCCATGAACTCCAGGATGTCCAAAGCCATGAGACAAATGTCCACGGCATGCCTGTTCCCGCTGCGTCTTGGCAGACCAGACGCGACCATGTACGCGTCACCGATGGTCTCCACCTAAACACAGCTGCAAGTTCTGGCTATTTAACCATATTTGGTCTTTAAAAATATAATTTTGTAAAAATATTAAAAGAAAAACGATTGTCTGCTAGCTGTTATCTCTGAGCATCTGAACACAGAGAGCGTACCACCGGCCTATGAGAGAGACAGAAAGAATCTCTCTGGTTTCAGGGTCACTTCTGCCACTCGCCTAGAAACACCTGATGGATGCCCAGCAGTTGCTATGTGGTTGCTAGGGCATCGCTGTGTGGTTAGCAGTTGCTAGGATGTCCTGGGTGGTAAGGCCATTGCTAGTGCATAACTATGTGGGTGCTAGGTAGTTGCTAGGATGTCCTAGGTGGTTGCTAGGATGTTGCTAGTGTGCCATTCATGGTTGCTAGGCAGTTGCTAGAGCATCACTATGTGGTTGCTGAGCAGTTGCTATGGCATCAGTCTGTGTTTACTCGGCAGTTTCTAGGGCATTGCTAGGCAATTGTTAGGGCATTGCTATGCGGTTGCTGGGCAGTTGCTATGACATAACTATATGTTTGCTAGGCAATTGGTAAGGTGTCCTGAGAGGTTGTTAGGTTTTTGCTAGGCAGTTGCTATGGCATTGCTATGTGGTTGCTGTGTAGTTGATAGGGCATTGCTTTGTGTTTGCTAGGCAGTTGTTGGGTCATTGCTATGTTGTTGCTAGGGTGCCATGGGTGGTTGCTGGGCAGCTGATAGGGCATTGCTATGCGGTTGCTGAGCAATTTCTAGGGCATGGTTATGTGGTTGCTAGGAAGTGACTAAGATATCCTGGGAGGTTGTGCAAATGTATTTATTGTTTGTTTGCTCTATAACAAGCAAACTGACCTTAAACAAAATATCTGTACCCATTTGAAATTAGAGGCAACCACTGCATTTTAATCACTATCCAAACAAAGATGCTACACACGTCGCATGAGCAGTTGTTTTTGATTTGAATTAGATTATATAATTTCAAGATTTAATGCAAAAACAGAACATTGTGACTTTAGCTTTGTGAAGTTATCGTACATAAAATATATCTGAACGAAACAAAAACAGCAGATGGGCTGAATGAGAACAGCAGGTGGCGCTTATGGAACAGCAGCAATGCAGCATTTGATTTTGTTACCAGTGTAAACAAAGCAGCCCTGCCTATTTTCTTCAGTGAGCTTGCTCTGCCTGCTACAGTATTTTCTCCTCTTTATGTCCATCTTCAGCATCTCTGGACACTGTTAACGTTCGGTTTACAGACTCATAATGTATTTTTCTTCATCACTGTCCCAGTAACTCCAGAAAATGTACAAAAAGTACAGTACAAAGACTGGAGACATTTTTGTACTTATTTTCTGTTATTTTCGGGGGCTACTGGGACAGTGATAAAGATCTACCAGTCAGACGACCACTGTCCTAGATGATTGGCAAAGTGTTGTTGAGCAGTTGCTAGTGTCTTCTGGGTGATTGCTAGTGTTGTTAAGCAGTTTGTAAGCTGCTCTCAGTGGACATTAGCTGTATATGAAGTGTGTGTGTTTCTGACCCCGGCAGCAGCATGAAGTTGAGCTGGTCGGCTCGGTCTCTCTCGGCCTTACACAGAGCCGTTCTCTCCTCCACCAGGTGCTCCAGGTTCCTCGAGTACATCTGCAGCCGGCGGATCAGGTTGTCCATGTAGCTGGCGTTGGCCTCGTTGTGAAGGTTACTGCAGAAACACAGAGCAGCATGTCAGCACTCGTTCACGACCACCGAACTCGATCAATTTGATTCACTCTCGCACCTGAAGATCTTCCCCAGAGCGCCCTCGATACGCTTGAAGTCCGGACGCTTCTCTGGATCCTCCTCCCAGCAGCTCTTGATAAGCACGAACAGCTACAAAATAAATTTCATTTTTTACACTGAAATCGAATTTAAAAACCTTATATTTCACATTTATTAACCATTATTTAACCAGGCAAGTCACTTAAAAACGAATTCGTATTTGCAACAACAGCCTGGCAGTTGTTTAAATAGCATATTTAAAATTAGCAAAAAAATCTGACTTAAAAAGCCTCATAAATGTTGTTTAAAATAACCGTTTAAAAGTGTTTTCAATATTAAGAAAACAATATTATTTAAATCTGCGATTAAATTTGACAGCCTCATAAATGTTGTTTTGTTGCTCTCAGATAGTGTTTAAAATGTAATTTTAAAATTTAAAATTTCAATAACATTTTAAATCTGAAATTAAATCTGACATAAAAAGCCTCATGAATATTGTTTCTTTTTTTATGTCATTAACGTTAAAAAAGCGTTTTTCACAATTTAATAACGTTTCAAATCAGCAACAAAATCTGAAATGAAATGCCTAATAAACGTTCTTACACTCAATTAGCAAACTTCAATAACATTTCAAACGGGCAACAAAATCTTACATGAAATAGCTCATAAATGTTGTGTGCAATAGGGTCAAATATATGTTCATTTCACATTTTAATAAAATCTTTGGTAACACATGTGTCCTTGTTACACATGTTACATGTACTTACTATTGTAACAACAATTAATTATGCATAATTACATTCAAGTAACCCTAAACCAAACCCTAATCCTAACCCTAACCATATAGTAAGTACATGTAGCTAATTAATATTACTCAGTACTTAAATGTATAATTACGCCATAACAAGGACACCTTAAAATAAAGTGTAACCAAATCTTTCAAATCAGCACTAAAATCTGACGTGAACTGTTTCATATATGATGTTTCTCATGCTCAAATACTACTAAAAAAGTGTTGATTTCAGGTTGGTTCAGCCAATGCATGTGTGCAGTCATAAGTGTGCATCTCAGAACCGTTGCTATGGTAACCGTAACTTCTAAAAAAAAAAACTAACACGACTGGCTCTTTCATTTAGAAGGCGGGGCTTCCTTTGCTAGAGCTGCCATATATGGGCGTTCCAGATTCTCCCATTCATGGTAATACAAGTGAAGCGTTTTTATAATATAGAGTCTCTGGTATCAGTACCTCTGCTTCAGTCTCTCCGACGGACTCGAAACTCCGATCGGGTCGGAAGACGTTCGGCCCCCGCGGATACTGAACACGATAGAGTTTCTCTAGAGGAGAAAAGATGAACAACACGCACAGAAAGAGAATTTATTCAGTTGATTTATAGCGTTTCATACAGTGAAAATCAAAACTCCAAACAGTAGAGCAAAGTTTGATTCCCAGGCAATTGCAACACAAGTCATTTTACACAAAAGCATCTGCTAGATGTGTAAATGTTCAGATTCTGCATGTATAAAATGCTCTATCTTTGGGATACAGACGGACTGAATGGGTGTGTTTGTACCTGCCGTATTGGAGCAGCAGCGGGTGTGAAATGGGCTCTTCCTGAGGATGATCTCCTGCGAGATGATGGCAAAACTATAGATGTCACCCTTCTGAGAAATACCCTGAACACGCATGTGCTCTGGCGCCGTCCACAGGTCTGACAGGACGGACAGATTTCACTCATTCATCTCTTGATGACTTATAGAGACTCTGAACACTAAATGAAATCTGAACGTCACAGCAGCTCTATGTTAATATGACTGTCAGTAGAATTTAAAGGAATAGTTCACCTAAAAATGAAAATTTGCTGAAAACTATTCCTTTAATTTGAGATATATTTGATAATAATCTTAATTATTTCTGTAGTTACGTGTCTCTCATGTGCAAAGAAACGGGAAGTGACATCACTAACCTTTCCCGGGCGTGAGGATGGTGTTGCAGCCGAAGTCGGTGATCTTCACCACCATGCGATTGTCCACCACACAGTTGGTGGATTTCAGCCGGCCGTGAACGCCGACGTTACTGGAGTGCAGGTACGACATGCCCTGACCAAGCAGACACAGCGGTGACGTGATCAGAGGGCAAAGGTCAGGTGTGTCCAATCACAAACATAACGACTGTTTCCAAACATACGGAGGCCCATGTGTGTCCTATAATCAATATTCTGTCCTGTTTGCTCATAAAACTTGTATGTTTTGAAAATGTAAACTACAACTCTAAAACTAACTTTAAACTGAATTTTGAGATGCTCACACTGATTTGTACTGAAAACGGCAATATACACACACACACACACACACACACACACATATATATATATATATATATATATATACAGTATAATCTATTTAATTTGAGTTTGTTTTGTTTTGTTTGTTTTAATGCCCATATAGTTTCTATTAAGTTTTAGTTGATTTAGTTTGTTATTTTACTACTTCAACTTAAACTAAACAAAAATTAAACTATACCTGAAATAAAATAAGTTTAAGTATTTTAATGATAAATCCCTTATATATCATTTTTAAATTGGATTTTACTTTTATATATTCTGTTTTAATTTTAGTTTTAGTAATTTTGTTATTTTTTATTATATGCTGTTGTTGTTTTACATATTGTTTTTATTGCGTTTTACTTTTAGCTTATTAGTTTTAGCTATTTTAGTACTTCAACTAAATGAAAATGAAAATAACTGAAATAAAAATAAGTTTAAATAAATATAACAAGAATGAAAAATGTAAAATATTTAATTTCAGTTAATGTTTATTTTATTTTAAGTAATAAAATATTTTAATGGCTTAAATTTTAGTCAAGGCGGGCGTACACGGTGCGATTCTGAAGGTCGGAACGTCGTGAGCTCTGGCACATGTCACGATTGAGTTTATCCGAAAATCGTACGGAGGCAGTC